TTAGCCTCCTGAGCTGCTGGGATTATAGGCATGCGCCCCCGCACCTGGCTTAAAAGCTTTCTTTTAGCGATCCCATATCCATTCTCTGTCTATACATATCTACTTTCTAAAGCTAGTAGTTGTATGTTTTCTGTATACAATTTTATTGTGTTCTACACACACACACACACACGCACACACACACACACACACACATTTTTCAAAGGAAATCATAGGTCTATATAGCATAGCTTTTTGTTTTTTAAAAATTTACTGCAGTGACCTAGCAGATATAGCCTCTTTTTTCTTGCTGCTTGCTGTACTAGAGATTGAATCTAGGACCTCATGTATGCTAAATGGGCACTCTACCACTGAGCTGCATCCCCAGCCTGCATGTACCCTCCTCATTCAGCATTCTACTTGAGATTTGTCACTTATTTAACTTATGGTAATGTTTCATTGAATGACTATATCAGTTTATTTTTGCATTGCTGAATTAATGGAAATTTAGGTTTGTTTCTAGTTTTTCACTGTTATAAATAGTGATGTATTAAATATCTTTATGCTAGTCTTCTTGTATATTACCAAAGTATGTAATTTCTGGGTCTGGACTATTATAACCTTAACTACATTTACCCAACCAAATTGCTTTTCAAACTTTGTGTGCCAGTTTATACCTCGATCAGCACTGTCTGGCAGTACTTCATGGAATTCATCCTCACCAAAGTTGACATTATCATACTTAATTGTTTTTGTCTGTTTGATGTTTATGAAATAGTATCTTGTTATTCTTACCTAGTTTTACCTGTTTAATAGCTATTAAAAATTTCCCCTATTAAAAATATCCATTTCTTAAAATATTGGTTTCTCAAGATGAATTCGTTTTGTGCTGAAGAAAAAGTAGATCAGAATGTTATTTTAACTTAGCAAATTATGAATTCTACAAAAAATCAAATTTGAATGGTATATAAATTTTATGGTTTGGGAAATACTCGGATCTCTAAAATGTTTCAGTATATACTAAGAATCCCTAAAGTCTTTTTGGTGTTTTTTTTTTTTTTTACAAATCAGCAGGGATCAGCAGCAAAAAGAAAAGCAATCAGTAACAATCTAAAGAAATGTGAACTGCTACTTTCTTTCTAAGTAGTTTGCTGTATCTAGGGATCATAAAGCTGTTGGAAGACGACCTTTTGATAAGATGGCAACTCTTCTTGCATACCTGGGTCCTCCAGAGCACAAGCCTGTGGCAGATACACATTGGTCCAGCCTTAACCTTACCAGTTCAAAGTTTGAGGAATTTATGACAAGGTAAAATACAGCCTTAAAATAATGAGTGCTTTCTTTTTGGTTGAGAAGCAAAGTTTGCCACCAGGCCACTTTAAAATAAGCTTTATTTTTGTTACAAGATTATCAGGAAAGATGTACACAGTTAATAACATTAATTCAACTTTTCTCTTACTCTGTATATTATTGAAATATGTTTGCTGTGTTGTTTTATGTATTGGTTTTCTCATAAAGATTATAGTCCTATTAAATCATAGTTTATCATCTCACCTTGATATGTTTCTGCATTTATTTTTATTTTTTAAACAAATCACAGTGGAATGCATTATAATTCATATTACACATGTAGAATACAATTTTTTATATCTCTGGTTATATATAAAGTACATTCACACCAATTCATGTTTCATTCATGTACTTTGGAAAATGATGTCTATCACATTCCACCATCATTGTTAACCCCCTGTCCCCTTCCCTTCCCCTCCCCTCCCCTCCCACCCCTTTGCCCTATCTAGAGTTCGTCTAATTCTCCCATGCTCCCCCTTCCTACCCCACTATGAATCAGTCTCTTTGTATCATTGAAAACATTTGGCATTTGTTTTTTTGGGATTGGCTAACTTCACTTAGCATTATCTTCTGGAACTCCATCCATTTACCTGCAAATGCCATGATTTTATTCTCTTTTATTACTGAGTAATATTCCATTGTGTATATATGCCATTTTTTTAATCCATTTACAGTTTAGCTATTGTGAATTGTGCTGCATTTAATAGTTATAAGGGTATATAGAAAACATTATTTTCACATTATAGTTAAGGAAAATGCAACTTAGTGTGAATAATTGATTTGCCTAAGATTCCATATTTAATTGATAGGTCAATGGATTTCAGGGGGTGGAGGAGAGGTCTTGGAATTGAACCCAGGGCTGGTTTACCACTGAGCTACATCCCCAATTCTTCTTATTTTTAATTTTTGAGACGGTATTTTGTTGTTGCTCAGGGCCTCACTAAATTGCTGAAGCTGGCCTTGAATTTGGAATCCTCCTGCCTGAGCCTGGGATTACAGGCATGTACCACCATGCATGGCGGGTCTTTGGTTTCAATTACTGAACTCTTTTCTACCACACAAGATACATAGAAATACTAGTATTACAAAAACATACAGTTGTGCTTCCCTAATTCAAAAGTCAAGATTTGAAATCTTCAAAATCTGAAAACTTTGCCAACATGATCCACAAGTGGAAAATTTCACACCTAGCTTTATGTGACTTTGATAGTCATCAAAACGCAACTGCACTAAAAATATTTTCTAAAATTATCTTTAAGCTATGTGTATAAGGTGTATGTGAAATGTAAATGAGTTTTGTATTTAGGCTTGGGTCTCATCCCTCAAGATAACTCTTGTTTGGAATATATGCAGATATTTCAGAAATCCAGAATCTGAAATTTGTTGAATAGGGATACTTAACCTATATAAAAAATAAAATATTTTAAATATACTTAGCTGAGAAGTTATTTTCTGAGCAAATTCATGTACTTTGCAAAAGTACAGTCATTATATAGAAATAAAGAAATGGAGAATATGAAAGGGGTTAAGAGATGCAGAACGTATAATGAGAAGGTCTACCATATATCTAGTTGGTTTATTTCAGAAACCAAATTTAGTGTGAGAATAAGCACAGGTAATATTCGAAGAGGTAATGGATGAGAATTTCCTGGGGTTCATGAAAGATATGAACCTTCACATTGGAGAAGCACACTGAATTATTAGTAGAATTTATAAAAATTAAGCCATATTTTTTCAGAAATGTATTTCAGTATGTGTGGGAATTTAATATAAAAATGGTATTTAAAGTCAGGGACATTAGACTGGACTTTTGATCAATGGTATTGATGCAACTGAGTAATCATGTAGAAAAGGGTATTTATACCATTCATGAAGATAAGTTCCCATGAATCAAAAAAAAAAAAGAAAAAAGAGCTAATGAAGGCCTTTCTCATCAGCTCAAAATTCATAAACCAGAAAAGAAAAGGTTGATAAACTAAACTCATAAAAAGCAAATAAATGAAATTTCAAGACTTATTTCTGAACAAATGCCATAAACAAAAATAATTCTGTGGTTTAATATTCTTGTCCAATAGTTTTCTTAGAATAGTCCTAAAAGTGCATTTGTGATTCAGAAAGTAACCTTGAGATTTTTGATGCATGTTGCCAAATTGGCCTTAAGAAAACCTGTTGCTTTTTAAATATTTTGTCCTTTTTACATTTCATCTGTGATTCAATTGTAGGTATTTGAAAATACTCAGTAAACTGTATAAAGCCTCTGAATTGTTCTGTTCTTTTTTCTTTTAGGCATCAGGTACATGAAAAAGAAGAGTTCAAAGCTTTGAAAACATTGAGTATTTTCTACCAAGCTGGGACTTCCAAAGCTGGGAATCCTATTTTTTATTATATTGCACGGAGGTAAGAAATAATGTTTTAGTCTTTCTTAACAGAGTTTTTAAAATGACATCAAATGTAGAGAGATGACAAGTTTGATTTTTCCTGTTTGAATTAATAGGTCTCAAAGACAAGTAATTCTACCTAAGATCAGAGTATATAGGCTGAGTAAACAGCTGTTCTGTCTTAATGTGTTGTTTTGTTTATTAGAAATTGCTTTTCAGAGTATTGTTGCATACTGACTTCTCTTTCCTTCATTAGTTTTTAAATTAATGTACAGTGTGTTAATTATAAAGAATGAAAAATTGTAAATAATCTTTTGTTTTCATGTATATTCTGATTTAATAGTATCTACAACATGATAATCAGGAACTTTTTTTCTTCAAGAAGAAGTAAAACTTAAAAATTCTATTTCTGAGAACCTTTTGTAATATGAAGTGTAAGACTGTATCAGTGTGATTTAGAAAATAAATCAGAGGAGCTATGGGAAATCTGTAAAGATTTTTTCATGGCTAGCCTGGAAAATTGATCGTGTTTGTACGTGCTATCTGCAGTCATGACTAGTTCCTAGAAACTGTTCTGGAAATACTGGGAACTCCTCTTTTCATGGTAGTTGTGGTGCTGCATTGCTTTCTTTGCCATCTGTTTTTTCTTTCTTGCCTCAAAACTGCCTACCTTTTGATAACTGTGACATTATTTGGTTAGTTTTACTTTTTCATATTCAGCAGACCATAAATTCATGGCAGTTGAACCTTTGAGGCAGTATGATGTGAACACAGAGACCACTTACTTGAGAATCTCAAGGACTATGTTTATTCTTAGTTATGCTATTTGTTTAGTTATAGGACTTAGTCTTCCTGAATTTCCTGAAATTAACAGAAATTGAGGAATTATGTCAGTGGACTTAATGATCATGGGTGGCAAAATCTTGGCAGTTTTAGGAAATAAATTAAAGTTGAGAAATGGAGGGATGGAACAATTGGAACTTGTTTAGTTAGATAAGTCAGATAGCAAGACTAAGATGTCCAAAGAATTGGGGAATTAGGGAACCAAAAAGTTATAAAAAATTGCCTTTTTCTTTGCCCCTTCTAACAACTTGAGTAACATCTGTTTAGCATTTCAAAGTCCTCTTTTCAACTCTCATCTCAGTTACTATTTCTAAATTATTTAAGGTAATTTTCTTTTGTACTGAAGATGAGCCTTATTTGTATTCCAGCCTCAACCTTTAATACTAGTAGGATATTTTGACTTTACCTATTTTATGTAAATAATTAAAAAAACAACCATTGGTAAGATAGATAGATGTGTGCCCCAACTCCCAATCCCTCTTGAATTCTTGTTGGTTTACAGGTAGCAAAGATTTCTAGTAAAGGTCAAAGCTGGGTTTTTTTCTTTTCAGGGAAGAAACTATAAGTTTGTGTTCCTTCTTTGTGGTGGTCAAGCAAAGGCTAAGGGCTGAAGTAAAGCAGGATGGGCTTTAGGCAGAACTCTCAGTGGGATTAAGTCAGCGGGTTCTCTATGGATATATTCTAGACATATATAACGTGGGGTTTGAGATTACTAAGGTTTTCTAGCTCTGCAGCTTAATAACTGCATAATCTTAGGCAATTTAGTTTTCTGAAACTTTCCCTCATATTTTTAAAAGGAAAGAGATGTGCTTGTAACATCTGTCTACCTCTCCTATATGGTTTCTTTGTGACCTATTAAGTTGTGTACAGAGTAAATTCGAGGTTTTTTTTTAAATATACATATATATATATATAATCCTGCCAATTTCATATTTTCAGTCCTTTTTAAAGTTTCTTATTTAGAACCTACAAGAGATCCTCCTGGTTCTCATTTTCACCTGGTGCAACGTCCCTCCAACCAGGACAAATGAGCACACAGTACATAGAGTAGACAAAGGCCCAGTTTCTCTTTGTACAAATTTACAAGTAGTTAAGTTCATGCTTCTATTTAGTTTTGTTGAAGAGTAAAAACGTTTGACTTTGTTGATATTCCTGTATTTCTGTTGTTTAGACTACCGTGTATTAGGTGATTTTTTTTGGATTGTGGATTCTAATCTCAAAGATCAGACATTTCAGACTTTGACTACCCCTTCCTTTTCCCCATATAGAAAACCTACTTGTTTTAGATTCTTCCCTTTTTCTTTCATCTTTCTTGTTATCACTCACTGGGTCTTGATTTTACCTATAAGATGCTGGCAAATCAATTGAGGTGTTTTAGTTAGGTTTTTGTTACCACACAGTTATTTTCTCAGGAAGATAGGCCTCAAGAAAAGCATGAAGCAAAGTAGATCCAGATATCAGTTCTGGAACCAGCTTATGCATGTTGACTGTCTTGGCTTTGTGTTCAGCTCTACTGCATGACCCTCCTCTTTTCTATCCAACTCCTTTTTTACCTTAGTACTGCATACCTGAAATTCCAGGAAGAAAATGTGACTCAGCTAAAAAGTATCTTTGTTGGCAAAATTTTTCATGCTAGACATTGGCCGGCCAGTTGGTTTCTGGCTTTCCCTAAGCCAAGTACATGTTCCTGGTGTAGCAGTCATGTGATTCAAAATGTGACCACAAAGTGACACACTGATCTGGCACTGTCCCTAGGTTTGTGTTTTAATTTTTAAAAATTGGATCTTAATGTTCTCATATTGCTATTAAGTATTTTGGAAATGTATTTTGAAACCCAACTGCATTGCTGGGATTCTCAGTATCTCTTTCATATACTATTGTATTCTCTCCCTAATCACCAGATGACTACTTCCAGGTCATCTTAACATTGCTCTGGAATTGTTTTCCAGTACAAATCTTATTTTCTTTTCCACTGACTTTGCATCTAATGACCAAATTCTGGAATTAGGCATAAAAGGATCTTCATAATTTGGCCTAATTTAATTTTCTGATCTTTTCCTGTTGTTCCCTTCTATATATTTATGCTTTTGCCTGTATTAATTGTATTATATTATTATTATCATTATTAATATTTAAATCTATTTGTTTTATTCAATATAACTGTTTGAAAAGAATTGTTTGTTATAGTTCAAGTATCGTCCTGGGGTTTCATAAATGGACTTCCAGACCACTCATGTATAATCCAGTCAAAGCCTTTATTGAAGCACACTGGTGGCGACTGACCAGAACATAAAGCTGTTCCCCCTGATCAGCCCTGAACAATTGCAAGGGCATTTCTTGTAAGCCTGAAAACTGCAAAAGGGAAGTTTGGGAATCCAGCCAATGTAAGCAAGCCATATTACAGAAGTGGGAGAGTGCAGTCAGGTGGTGGGGACGCTTAGCCAATCACAGTTAGCCCACTCACCCTAGATACAGAAACAGAGCCCCATTACCCTAGTTACAGAAATAGTGCCCCATTAGGTCGTTCTGTGTTCTTAAAAGTTTCTATAGCAAAAGGAAAAGAACATCTTGCCCTGGTTATGACCCTTGTACTTGGCATGGTTGTTTTACAAAACAGAGTTACTAAACAAAATGGAGTCACTTTGGCTTGACTATCACAGTTGAATAAATATAAATATAGATCGTGGACTAGTGCAGTGTGTTATTAATTTTGCTTAAGTGACAATACAATTTAAATTTGTATAAACAAAAAAGGGACTTTATTTGCACATATACATAAGATGATCAAGAGACTAGATGCACATCTGGGAAACATGCCTTCTCTGGTTCTTGACTCTCCTTTCTTCATGTGGTTTTATTCTCAAGAATCTCTTCCCCAGCTGCTGTCAGCAGTGGTTTATGTGCTCACCACTTAACAACCCCAATGGAAAAATACCTCTTTCCCGTAGTTTCAGCAAAAGTAGTTGGTTTTATGGCCTGACTTGAGTCCCTGAGGCAATCACTATGCAAGAGGGATAGAATTTCTTGGTTATCTAGGCCTGGATCATGTGCTCATTTCTAGAGTTCAGTGGTGAAACCAGCCAGACCTGAATTGCATGAAGGGAAAGGCAAGTGTGAGAGCAGGGTTTCACAAAAGAAAATTGGATTGCTGATACCAGAAGGGGTTAAATGGATGCTGGGAAGGCAGGAGTAACAGTTCTCTACATGCAGCTTTAAGAAGACCCAGAAAGACACTGCGGTAGAGAACTTGCCTAGCATGTGTAAGGTACTGTGTTCTATTCTCAGCACCACATATAAGTATTCATTGACAACTAAAAAAATATATATGTGTTAGAAAAAAAAAAGAACCAGAAAGATGACTCCGTCACTTAATAAGGTACAAGTACTGTGAATGAATGTGTATGCAGGTATGTGTAAATGTGTATGTATGAACTGAAAAATATGTGAAACTATACACATCAGACTGGGGGTATTGCTTAGTGGTAGAGCGAATACTTAACATGGGTCTGGGTTCATTCTCCAGCAATATACACAGGTGCGCGTGCACACACACATGCTTTGATGTTACTTATCTCTGGAGTGAATATGCTTGGAGAAGGTAAGGGGCCAATTATATTTCTGTTACATGTCTATATTTTTTCACTTGTTGCCAGGAACGCATATTATTTTTGTAAGAATAATTTAAAATATAAAATCTAAAAGTTAGAATGAAGAGTTTTCCTCTTTGGAATGTTATGGTACTTGGCAATTACTTTTTGATGATATTAATAATGATAATAGCTAACATTACTGAGCGCTTTCTTTGCATTAGATAAACTGTGCATGCTATATAATTTATCACTTTGTTCTTATAATGAATGACCTTCAGTAGTGTTAACAGTAATTGACATGTGTATGAATTGAAACCCAAACCAGCTATCAAAATAATCTGAAAAATTAAATAGATCCCTACACTCCACCCTTGCCAATGAGCAAATCCTATGTATTCAGTAGGCACCTCTCATGACTCATTTATAGTCAGTTTACTATTGAAACTTGCTTGGGAACCCTGCTGGGTCACACATGTAAACCCTGGTAGCACAGCTAGTAAAAATCAAAATTGGGTTCTAAATCCAAACCAAAACTTGTAACAATTGCACTATTAATAGCATGGTTATTACTGTTTTATACTGTTTTGGGGTTTAAATTAATCTTTGTAGATGGACATGAAAATCTAAACATTTCTGTGGAGAAAATGAATTTTGGATCCTAAGTATCTGATTTACAAATGGTCTTTTGAAACACAAGACAAGGGTTTACTCAAAATAAGATAATCTTAAAATTGAATCATTAGCAGAGTTGGCATGCTTTTTTACTGGATGACATATTCCTAATACACATTCACAAAATAATGATGTTGTTTTAAAGTATTTTTTTAGTTGTTGATGGACCTTTATTTATTAATCTATATGTGGTACTGAGAATCAAACCCAGTATCTCACACATGCTAGGCAAGCACTCTACAACTGAGCCACAACCTCAACCCAGTAAAGGACTGTTGTTTTTGTAAAGGACTATTATTTCTCGTTACCAGATTAGCGCTTTTTGATCTACTTTTTAAAAAATTAGGCAATACATACAACAACTAGCTTCAAACCACTCCTGTCCCTTATCCTCTATATCCCCAATCCTCTTTGGTTAAATACCACCTACATAGTTTTTTCTCTTATACCTTTAATATAAACATCTGAGTTTCAATTGAATTTTGCAAACATTTAAAAGACAAATGTGGTATTTTGCTTATTTTGGCATTTAATAAGGAAGTAAGTACATAGTTTTTTATAAGGAAGGAAACTATCATATAATGTTTAAACTTATATAGTCAAAATCTGCAAACAACCAAACCATACCAGGATAATGATAATTTCTTAAATAGTAAGTTGAAATAAATTTTATTTTCCTAGTGTGCTTATCATTCAGCAGATAATAAGGAACCAAGATAAAAATGTAGGCTGTTCAACAGGTTCACTTCAGCCTGAATACACACAAAATAGTAAAAAGCCTACATAGGAAAGAAAGTGAATGTTGAACATTGCATTGAGTATTGTGCTACCATTTATTACATTCATTGTTGTTATAACTGTCTTTGGGGTCATTGCTGATGTTTGGTTTGTTTTGGAACTCTGGATCATCTTGGAACTCGGGATCATCTTGGAACTTGGGATCATCTTGGAACTCTGAGTCATCTTGGGATTCTTGATATCTGGACTTCTCATAGGATAATGCTTGGTCCCAAGACTTTGGTTTGTCTTGGGGTTTGGGCTCATGCTGGAATTCGGGCTCATAGAAACTGAGGTCGTAGATGTTGAAACTGTTCCCGTAATGTGAATAAACACGAGGAGCAGGCTGGTGATGAGTGCCTTGAACATCATTTTTGTCTGCTTTAAAATAATTATATAAATTTCATCTATGTCTTAGACAACAAATAGACAAGCATATATCCTTGATTGTGTTTATTTAGTACATTCATGTTATGCCAGTGTGCTTTTACACTGTTAGTGAGCAAATGAAAAGCTTTCCTTCTCAACATCTGCTGACATAAGCCCATTTTCTATCTAGGGTCACCACTTAGGGTATAAACAATCTAGAGTAAAGAGGGCTTAATTCAGTTTTCCTTTTTTAATAAAAGGGAAGCTAAATTAAACACTATATATCTGGTATAAGTATGGGGACTTCCTTTCAGATTAATATATATAGTAGAGTTGAAAGGTTAATAAAATAGGTACTTGTCACTCTATTTTTCTATATGCTTAACAAAACACTGTTGAAATCTTGTTCCCAGGATGTGTTGTCCCCAACTGTGAACTGTTTGCTAATCTTGTTCCCAGAATGTGCTGTCCCCAACTGCCAAACTGCAGGATGCACTCCCTCACTGCTCACTGGCCCTGACCCATCAATGAACTTCCCTCCCTGCCCTCTCCAAGAAAAGTATATAAGCTCTGCTCAAGCGGTTCTCAGGGCTCTATCTCTCTTTGCTATAGAGAGCTCGGGCCCCAGCATGCTGGTCTCCAAATAAACCCACCCTTCTGCTGTTGCATAAGACAGTCTCTTGTGGTCTCTTCCTCGACGTTTCGCCGGTCCCTTACAGAGTAAGGGCCAAAGAATGATAGACAGTTTCAGAGTGTAAAAAATAAATAATGAAATAAATGTTGACTTTTTTTTCTTTCTTTAGACTTCTGTTGGCTTTTATTCCAACAATTTAAGGTTTAATTCCAACAATTTAAGGTTTAAGCTTAGGTCACAATTAGGGTATTCATTCTAAATGTTTACACCCAACACTAAAAGAGGATTTCTCCCAGTGCTTGGGATGTCCTTCATTTTTTGCCTTAAAAAAAAAAAAAAAGTGGTTTCTGGAGAATCTCCTAGCTTTTAAGATAAAAGGAAACTTAGAATTGATCAAAATCAATTCCTTTGTTATTCAAATGAGCTCACACAAGAGGAATAACTTGCCTGAGTATACCAGAGCTAGAACTTGAGTTTTAGTTCAGTGTTTTTTAGTGGTTGTGGACTGTGAAGACATAGTAGATTCTATACCAAAAGTTTAATGCAAACCATTTTTAAAGTAAGGATAATTTTTTTTTATCCTCTATTTAAATCTAATGGCTTACTAATATATAGCCCTTTCTGGATATGATTATTATAATTTTTTAAACTTAAAATTTAAACTTTTATTTTAGAAATTTAATATATACTAAAAGTTATATTTACCTCTAATAAGTAATCGAGAAAAATGTCAAATTAATATTACCTTTTGATTGTTTTGTTTTGCTTTGTTTTCAAAGGTTGAGAAGTCAGCCTTTCTCTGGTATCCTGGAGAATCTGATTCTGATGGGGATTTCTAACTCACTACATGCTATTTAAATATACTTAATGAGCAAGTCACATGTTTGAAACTTGACCTGCTATTTGCTGTTTGGAAGTATCCAACTGAGAATTTTCCAAATAACTGGTGTAAATAGGTAGACTTTGGCAGAGATTAAGGCATTTAAATAAAGTCTTTTACAATCTGTTCATTTAGTTAAAGAACCTAGTGAATACCATGTTGTTATTCCTCTTATCTGTGTATATACATTAATGAATTTCTTCACTGGATTGACTCTAAATACATGAATACACTCTTTTGTGGGTATGAGTAGCGTGATTTAAAATCAAATAAGTATGTTAAAGATAGATAATCTTCTTTTTTTTTTCTGTTAGGCATCTGGGTGTATGTTTATAGGATAGTTTCTAGTTATGAATATTTTGAATAATTCCTAAATTATTTTAAAAAAATAATTTAGGAATTATTGGGATACATTCCAGTAATTTAATTTTGGGTAAATAAAGTAGTCTTTTTTGTTTGTTTGTTTTGTTTTAGTTATAGGTGGACACAATACCTTTGTTTTATTTTTATGCGGTGCTGAGGATTGAACCCAGTGCCCTGCATGTGCTAGGCGAGTGCTCTACCACTGAACCTCAACTCCAGCCCCAAATAAAATAATCTTAAGAAGTTAAACTGTATTTCTATGAGACTTAAACTAAGAATTGCATATGATTTTATAAAGTTGTGTATGTGTTTGTATTAAATCACCAAACCACTTGCCTTGAAGACGTTAAGGAAATTCTTTACAGGAATTTTGTGTTTTGATTAGTTCTTTTCCTTGATAACAGTGTATAAGGAAGTTGGTTGTGTTGTGCTCATGTTTTCATCATACTGGCTAGCACTTTTTAAGTATTATAGGGCTGTGAACAATAGTGTTGGCATACAAGGAAATTGCTTTTTAAATGGCAAAAGTACAAGTCAATACATGTTCCTCACTTGTTTTATTTTGCTGTAAATTTTTTTTCTTGTGAATGAATAGAACAACTGCCTGCTAAATCTTAATTTATATGGTACATGTAATAAGTTTACTTAACTGGAGGTTAGTGTGCTCAGACCTAAGAAGTAAACAAAAGAAGCCTCTTGGCAACCAGAGTAAATATTAAAATTAGACTTCTAAGATAATGCTCAGGAGTTTGATACTGTGCTTTCTCCATCTACTTAGTCATTCTTGCTTTGGGGACATACATAGTTGATAATAGTAATATTTTTGCCCAGAGCTGACTGTCAGCATGACTTATTTTGCTAATTCTGATCTTTTGAGTACTAAACTTACACAATACTTTATTGTGCTTCAAAAACTTCATACTCGCTTTATGTAAAATTCAGTATTTTCTCCTTCCTACTCTTGGATCCAGATGTGTTCTCATAATCTCTTAACCACATCATCACCTAGCCAAATAACTCTCCAGCCTTGGATTTCTCATTGTCTTCTCATTCTTATTAATTTTAAGCTTCCTGGACATTTTGATGATGAATAAATAACATTTTAATATCTGAACTTTCCAGCACTCAGATATTCCCAAACAAAAATCATTTGCCAATTGTTTAAGCCTTTAAAGACTTCCTTTTTTTTGTATGTGCAGCCTCCCTCATCTTCCCAAAGTACTTTTCTTCCTTGTTCAAAACTATAACTCTAGGTTTAATTCTGATGTCAGTACCTTTTATGTGAGCCTTCCCTAATTGTACACTTCAGAATCAGTCATATTAGGCTTTTATACTTAGCATCACCTACTCAAGCAGGTCTTTCAGCTCATGCAGGATAGACATCAAATACAGCTAATAGAGAGGTGGAAAGAATCATTTGTTGCATTGATTAGTATAGCAGGGTGGCTACCCCAAATCAGAGTAGCCAGGCAGCAAAGTAACCGCTCCATAGACAGAGTGGCAAGGAAGTCAAAGGGCAAACAATATTATACAGTTGTAGACCAGAAATTTGCATATATATACATACATATTTATATGAATGTGTATATTTATGTTTATAAATATATAAATTTATAATATATAAGTTGCATATTTATATATGTAGCAATATTTATGATTGTGTTGTAATCTTAGCACTTCTGTGCTATTTTGTATATGATGTAAAATATGTCCAAAATTGTGTCAACCCACCTCCACTCTCCCAGTATATTTTAATGCAAAAATCCATTTAAGTACAGTTTTATTCAAGAGGTTATGGTCTGACTTGCTTGCATTAGTTTTTATGTTTTCTTCTTGTTTGTCTTGAACAGTGGATAATTGGGGGAGGCCTTTTATTTTTACTTTTTATCTTAAGCATAAAGTATGCAGTGCTTTTTCTTTTAACAGTCTCCAACTTTAACTTTGTATTTCTTGTTCCTGCCATTTATCTTAAAGATAGAATAAGTAGTGCCTTTCTGTTGACTGTCACCAACTTTTAGTCCTATATTACTGCCTTACACAGAGTCTGTTTTTTACTATTAAAGGTATTTTAAATTGTTTTTTCACCATATTCTGACTTGTATTCCTCTTATCTTCTAGCATAGTGAATGCTTATAAAGATCAGGATACAATAAATATTGGAGTCGATTGAAAAAATTTCTTCATGTCTGAGGACTGATATAATTAATAATGTCTACAGTAATAAGAGGCATTTGGTCATTTGTGGGTTTTCCCTGCATTTTAAACATAAATTTGCAAGTTGTAGACTTGAATTTAAAAATTCTTTCTATACTTTCTGTCTCCTGTTTTGTGGATCATATACACATTCATAATCCCTTATCTGTAATTCTGGAATTCCAGATCCCCTGGAAACTTAGTTTTTTTTTAAAAAAAGTTTGGCACTAAAATTTATTTGGAACATTTTACTTGCATTGGTGTGAGGTTTTTTTTTTTTTCCTTTATTCCTATAATCTTAGTATACTTAGTGTTAATTTTGACATGCTGTTCCAGTTTCACTGGAATAGTATATACTGCATAATAAGGCATATCTGGACTTATCTTTCTGGGCACATCACTGTACTCCTAGCATCCTTGTAATTAGGTAGTATTTGTGCAGCAAATAAATGTAGGTTCCAGTGATATATATCATTTCAGGCCTGGTGTCTAACCTCATACCAATCATCCATTCTTGCTTTCCTCTATGAATGTCTATTAGAAACACAAGATTGAGTGGAAGGCATCTCCAGGACCCTATAAGACAGTAGAACTACCAGGTGATATGATGTAGGTAAAAAATAAAACTTTTATTGTCTTAGCCAGTGATATTTTGGGGTTATTTGTGACAGAAATTAGTCCGGGATGACTAATATAACTTGAGTGCTGGGTAACTTGCCTTTGCCTTTCTACATTCACTCTGTTTTTCAGAGGCTGACCTCTTTGGAGGACATTGTTGGGCTTCTCTTTTCCCTGCATTCCAATTGGCCATTAGGGAATATAAACAGGGTATTGGAGGGAAGAAAGAAAAATTGGGGTATGTATTCCCTTGGCTCCCTTCCTGGAGGGTTCTCTCTGCTGCTTGCATCTCTCTATGAGGATTTTGGGTTTTGTTGGGTAATCTTTTCTATGTCTGCGTTCTGGTAATTGCTCACTCTTAACCTCTACTTCAGGTATAGTATCTCACTATATTTTGTAGTTTCCTTAAATCATGTCTTCTTTATACATAATCTCTTATGTCCCAATTTGAATGTGCTTCTGTTTCCTACTAAAATCCTAACTGCTTTAACCCTTCCTAAATCTGAACAAGTCTAAATACAGAAATACATTTTGCTTCAAAGGGTACCTTCAAATAAGGGGTTGTAGATCCATACCAAGTTTGTAGATTTATAGTATTAATTGTAATATTTTTATGGCATGTATTAGACTTTTAATGTTTGAAATGAATTTATGTATGCATACTTTCCTAAAGGCAGTTCAGGTTTCAGGATTTAAAATTTTATTATACTAAAAATGGGGTTTTGCCTATATTTAAAATTAGAACATTCAAAGCATTATAGTATTATATAGCACTGAAAAGTGACTTTAAATGTGGATATAACCAGTGAAAAATGACTTGATTTTTAAAAGATACTTTGTTTTTATTCCTCTCTCTTGGATAATGGTATCCCCATCTCCCCTGAGGTTTAAATAGAAACCTGCCTTTACCTGCTCTTACCAGATACATCTCGTAAGTCATTAAGTCTTGTTGATTTGCTTCAGAAATTTTTTTATTTTTTACCCTCATATTTACAGACTCAGTAGTGTTTTTATTGTTGTTAAATTCTTTTATTTAAATATGCCTTTAATTTATTTATTTATTTTTTATGTGGTACTGAGGATCGAACCCAACCCCAGCACCCCCAGACTCAGTAGTTTTGTTCATTGAGTAAGATGGAATTGATAAACTTGTTTGTGAAGGACCAGATAGTGTGAGAACCATTTTTAGCTTGCAGCATAGTGCTAATGGACTGTGTAGTTTGCTGACCTATGGCCTAGGCTTTTGTCGTATACCCTCCAACTTCCACATTTTTTCCCAGAATGATCTGTCTATAATATGAGCATAGCACTTTCAGGTAGATCTTTTATGTACTCTTGTTATATTTAAGGCATTTATATACCACTTTTGACATTTTTGTCATTTCTTCATAACCGCCTATGCTATTACATTCTCCAAATTTTTATTTGACTGTTTTCTTTAAAAGAAAATTTGTACTATAAATGGAAAGTATATTGATTCCATAACTAGAAATCCAGTAAACAACAAGTAACAGTAAAAAGAAATGTACAATTAGCAAATGCCTCTCTTTCTTTTGTATTGGGGATTGAACCTAGGGGTGCCTAACCACTGAGTCACATCCCTAGCCCTTTTTTATATTTTATTTAGAGACCAGGTTTCGCTGAGTTGATTAGGACCTTTATAAGTTGCTGAGGCTGGCTTTGAACTCTCCATCCTCCTGCATCAGCTTTCTGTGCCACTGGGATTATAGGCATGCACCAACACGCCCAGCTCCAACTCTTTTTAAACAGGATCTTGCTAAGTTACTTAGGGCCTCACTAAGTTGCTGAGGTTGGCCTCAAACTTGTGATCCTCCTGCCCCAGCTTCCTGGACTGCTTGAAATCCAGGCATGCGCCACCATGCCTGGCAAATGCCTATTTCATATACCACCAAATCATATATGTATCATATTTCAAAAAACCTGTGGTGTGGCTAGGTGTAGTGGTGTGCACTTATAATCCCAGTGACTTGGGAGGTTGATACCCTGTCTCAAAAAATAAAAAGGTCTAGTAGAGTGCCCCTGGGCTCAATCTCCAGTTCCAAAAACACAAAAACAAAACTCTTGTTTATAAGATAAACCTTTTGTTCCT